AGGTTTCTAAGGATGAATATGAGGAAATCATAAGGAGAAAGGGCTCAAAATATGAACAATTATTTTTCAGGAGTCAATGGAGTGAAAGGTAGGGGATGTCACAGATCCAGGGAAAACCCCGGTGACTTCCCAACTATTCTACGATTGGACCTTAACTCTAAGGAGACATCCTACACCTCGTCGTCACGGTCTCGATCGTCGCCCTCTGTACGCTTTGCTTCTTAAAAAGACTACTCTAAGATCCTAACAGATCAATTAGAGGCACAGAGTTGTGGTGTATAAAGATGTAAAATTATTGGGTCAGTGGTTCGCTACGGGGTACCTCCTAAACCAAGTGTTCTACTGGCCTGTAACCTAAAAGTCCCCCGCAAGTCTGTAGAAACAACATGTGTTATAAAAGGGAACATGCTACGAAACGCAGTAAACAGTATACAGTAGTATTGCAGACATGAATTATGTGTATATGCAATAAAGTGTGCAGTAACAAAAGTAAACGTTGTAATCGTAAAACAAACCCGTATACCTGACGGGTCGACAGCTCTTGAAAAGACTCGAGAAAAGGCGGCAGATGACTCAAGGTAATTCGAGGAAAATCGTCGAAAACACGATGAAAATTCGGAGAAAATCACAAGTGCTTTTTCGAAGATTTTGATAAAATTGTAAGAAACACATAAATATCCGATTTCAAGAAAAACGTAGGAAAACACAAAAAAAAATCCGAAGAAAGAAAGAAAGCCGTAACTGTACGGGTCGGGCTAGACTCAGAATTAGGTATTCTTGAGGGACTTCAAAGGCGACTATCGGTCACCCGTATGTATAGAGCTCGACATTCAACTAGAAAGGTGTCCTACTATACCAACTTTGGTAGGTACTCCTTAGCCCAATATTGGCGATTAACAAGTGGAAAATCGAATTTTGCTATTTTTAACCTGCGTATAGGCTTCATGCATAGAAAAAAAGTAGTATCAATTTTGGTAGTCAAAATATTTTGAAAATAACGTATCTGTTCTTATCATTTTTATTTTATTGAAAATATGATTATCCACAAGTCAATCGCACTGTTGGGGCTTGGACCACCAACAACCTAAGAAGGCAAGGGAGCCCTGCTAGTCTAGTGTCGGTGAATAATATCGTCATCCTACGTTTCAACGGGTCCCGGGATTGGGTTTCGATATTATAGGATGAAATATTATTTCGCTCTACCACCGAATGCCTTTATCATCAAAACCCAATACCCCAAAAAGTCCGTCCAACTTACGACCTTGATTGATGGTTTCATATATAGCCAAAGCTATATATACGTACTTATGTATCAGACACAACCATTTAAAACCCAAACCAAGAAGCAAGGAAAGTGAACCGAAAAGCAAGAAATGCAAAAGAAAGAAGACTAAACTACCTCCGAAATCAATTTAGGAAAGAAAAGCAAAGCGGTAGGAGGGTTAGCTTAAAATATCCACTCGATGGGACTTCTTGAATGAGCAATGAGATGGGCACACTTCCCGATGCTAGCCAGGAACAACCCAAAAATGCACAATTTAGAGACCTCTAAGCTATTCCTCAAACCTTTCTCAAATATCAAAAGATTTTTTTTTCTTTCCTTTTTTTTTATCGTCTTTTTTATTGCACTCAATTCAGCCCGCAAAATTGGGTCTTGAAACATCTCCAAACATTTAACAAATCATTCCTCGAAAAGAGGCATTTGAATTCTTCCAAATAACAAGAATCGAAATATTTCATTTTACCAACATTAAAGCATTTAATTCTACCTCGAGCCAAAAGCTTCCATTGCCATATGAACCCAACATCATTCAAAGAATCCCATATAGGTGCTCACGGCCAGGGCAACAAGGAGCCATCAAACAGGTGCACAAGGTAACCAACATACGCAAACAAAAGGGGCTCTCTGGTAGGAGCAGCAGGAGGAGCCAGCAAACCCAAACCAACAGCCACAAGCTCACGGGTAGGAGCAGCCACAGGGGAGCCACCAGCTAACACTCAACGCAAATAAGAGAACACAACAGGAAGGCTCACGGTCAGGGACGCCAGGAGGGAAAGCCAACCCACACCCACACTTAGGAAATAGCAGGAAGGGAAGCAGCAAAGGGGACAGCAAAACCCAAACCAAGCAGAAGAAACACAACAAGAAGGCTTACGACTAGGGGCAACTAGGAATTAAAACCAAGCCCAAAACAAGCTCCCAAGCTTCAAAGAAAACCAAATTTTCATCCAACATATATTTTGAATGGGAAAGCCTCAACAGGAAATGAAACTAAACCCCGAAAGCACTGCTCAAAACATCAAACAGATTCCAGTATCATTCGAATAGGAGCATCGTCAGGGAGCAAAATTGAACCACTAAAAGAGTTGCTCAAAGCAAGTAATAATCCCAACATGATTCGAACAAGAGCAGTAGCAGAAAGAGCAAAACCGAGCCACCAAACAGCTGCTCAAATCACCAAAAAGATATTCCAGCATATATTAAAATAGAGGGAACAACAAGAAACAAAATCCAACCAGCAAACCAAACCTCCAAGAGCCCCAAAATCAAATAAAAGCTACCTGAATATGTTTCGAGTAGGAGGGCAACGGGGAAGCACAAAACAAAGCCCCCAAATTAAAATCTTCAAAAGCCTCAGTATCAAATCAATATAGCAAAGGAAACCGCAGCCCCGTAGGGCTAACACAGCTCAGAAATCCTCCATGTTAAACCCAGGCAGCAAGGAAAACCGCAGTTTAGAAGACTAAAACAACCCCTAAACTTTAACATACCAGCATAAATGTGATAAGAACATAAGGAGGAAGCTCACACATGCATAAGAATTCATAAGAATTAAACCATGGAATTAAACCATGCCTTTCATTAGCCTACATTCTTAGCTAAGTACCATGTAATATTTAAAAAAGACCTAATACCATGTATTTGGACTGAAGTAAGCTAAAATGTAACAGCTAGCCATGATTCCAGCATTAAATGTTAACAGGAACAAAATAAACCCCCCCTATGCATGCATTCCCCTATTTTAAGGTCTCCAGCATGTGTCGAGCAAAGAAGAAGAGTAGGAGAGAGGAAACATACCCTGCTCGGGCTTCTGTAATCAACCAAAAAAAATCACGACACTCTTAAACCTCAAGCTCACAAGCAAAGCCACAACTCCATGCTCACAAGCACCTAGCCGAGAAGAAATTTTCGCAGAATCTCCCCAGGCCTCAAGCTTCGTAACCTCCCTGAGAACTCTCCCCTACCAAGTTTTATCGACACCAGAGAGAAGAAAAAGGAGCTCGGGGGACTCAACTAGACGACACAACATCCCCAGCCGAAAGAAAACTCACCGCAGTCGAGGCCACAAAGGAACCATCGGGAAGGAGGAGAGTTTCCCCATTCGTGACCCAGGGAACAAACGGGCAGGGTCAACTTACCTCAGCGAGGATCGAAGGATCACGAAGGCCCTCCTTGCCTGACAAGATGAGGCAGGCGATGAGGCAGGCGATGCTTCGGGAAGAGGCATCTCGGGCAGAGGATGTCGGGCGAGGAGTCAAAGGCAAGGCTAGGGCTCCGCCTGGGCTGGCTCGTGATCAGGAGGAAGAGGGAGTTCGGTCGGATTCAGCTTGGGTCGCGAATGGGAGAACAAAAGGGTGGACGGGGTGTGAGTGAGTTAGGGATTTAGGCAGAAATAAAAGATCCCCCCATGGCTATATAGCACAAGGCATACCCCCAAGTATAAATAATATTTAATTTCCTCGAATTGCGCACCCCTCGTTCGTGCATGAAACCATATCAAAGTGGAAGTCCTTCCTAACTAAAGTCGACGTTCCGGACGCGCCAGCTCGCTCTGTTTCGTCATCCGAGATCGGGTCGGAAACACATCAAATTCGTATTTCGTCGAAATAATCTCTTATGATCGATCGTGGAGCCTCCTGCAGGTGCGGGAGACATGAATTTCAACAATTGTGTGCGTCGACGTGTGCGCTGTGGTATTCGTGCATCGATGAGTGTGCACGGGCGACACAAAGTGTTTCCTAAGGCTTTAGATCCTAAGGGTATTTGACTCGAGCTTCGTCGCGCTGGTTTTAATCCACTCAACTAAGCGTTGAGGATTTAGATACGATCACACGAACTGCGAGGAGTCAAGAAGTGATTTGAATTTATAATTAGTGTGGGCCCCAGACTAGTCGTCTAAGAGAGTCGGTAGGAAACCTTAAGGTTAGATCCTAGGCTTTAAGAAGAGAAAGCGACCTCACCAAAACTGAGCTCAACAAAGTTATGTTTAACTTATTTGATTTTTATGTGACATTTGATTTACAAATGACTATTATTGAATACTTTTTCGCATTCATTGCTTTGTCAAGTTGATTAAAGATGAAATATGGTTTCTTACATTAGTTGTTCTTAGTGACATACTCCTCCTTTACAATATCGTTTGAACAAGGTCTTTTGTATTATGAATTTCATTTAAATCTATTTTAACTCATTGAATCATGCGTATAGAAATTTCTCAGGTATTCTATATTTCTTAATTAATTCGAGGAATCAACTCATTTTACTAAAAAAGAAAAGAAATTTTTTTTTGCAATGGGATTATGGTTCTGTTTCTATATTGCTCTAATTAATATTCCTATTGTTCGTTTTAGTCTTTATTTCTACTATTCTCCCATAATCTTCTTCAGCACATTTATCTTTTTTTTTTCTTTTTGTCTTATTCATTACAAGCTTTTTATTTTTGTCTAGTTGTTTGTTTTCTTTCTTGGAATTTTCCTAGTTCAAAATAAATATTTTGATGATATGTAAATTTTTTAATTGGATTAATTAAATTTTATTTTGGTTTTTCATTTTGATAAAAATGAGAGAAGTGTGATTTTAATGGGATGATTTGAGGATTATTCGTGAACCTTGTTTCAAATTTGGAGATAGCATCATGATTTACTGCAGTATGGAAAAGCGTTTACTGGTTAATTAGATCAGAAGTGCCGTAGAAGCTAATGACTGTTTCTTCATGTAGTTTGTGATCCAGTTTTGGGTGATGAAGGAAAGCTTTATGTTCCAGAGGATTTGGTGTCTGTTTATCGTGAAAAGGTAAACTACTTTTGGTCATTGGCAAGCTTTTTGTTTCTTCTTGTTTTTGCTTGAAATTAATAATTGCATTTAAATTTGGCATAACCATTTTTTTATATTTTATGCGTAAATCTACTTTTGTGCGAATCTCAATAAATCCTTTTTATGTACGAGGAACTTGTGTTTAGTCAGGGTGACCAAAATAATGATCTTGTCTAGTTATTTACCAAATTTTTTTTATGTTCAGGTGGTTCCCTTGGCTTCCATGCTTACTCCTAACCAATTTGAAATCGAGCAACTGACAGGTTCCAGGTAGTTAACATTAAGTTTGTGAGGTTGTGTACTTATGTTCTACTTTCACGCCTACAGTTATGATATTGACAACCAAAAATAAATCAGTTGCTTACACTCAATTATGTAATCGTGTTTGTGCTCTACCTTTTCATGCATTGTGAAGGCCGATCATTCACAAAGTAGAATTCATATGCTATTATGCTATATGTGTCTCTTTATCGGGGGTTGAATATACCATCACTATATTGTTTTGAAGAATGAACCAAAAGAGAAGATCCCCTCCTCTAGGGTTCTTTTTTAACAATGATCTAACCTGAAGTCAAATATATTTGGGAGAGTGGCAATATATTTTCTTGCCATTTGTACCTCTCCTAGTACAAAAGAATTTGAAATTCTTGGTCCGCTAGTTTTTCTACATTATAAATGTTACAATCAGAGCTAACAAACAGGGTGTTTTGACCACCAATATTCCAAGCAACAGGATGATTGATCATCAAGAGCAAATACTTCTCGGGAATTTAGACCAATAATATGATGCTAAAATATAGGGTCATCAGTCATTCTAAAATACGTTCTAAAGTTGATTTATAAATTTGTAATTACACTATATCATAACTGGTCAGAATTATCACCCTTGCATTAGGAGCTGGTTTTTATCAGTTGAATACTCATTACCACCTTGATTACAATGAGATTTTCATAGTTTCTTTTCATGCATTCTCAGAAGTTATGAAAAAGAATTCGTAAGAAGATTAATATGAAGGAATACCTTTAAAATCTTTCTTGTGCCAGTAGCCAAGGGCAATGATGTCAACCTAATTCTCATTTATATGGATAGTTACGTCAGCTTCTGCCAGCTCCTTTCCAGTAATTACCTATTTTATTTTGTAGTAGCTGCATCCACTTGAACGATTTTATAAAATATTGAGCTGAGGATGCAAAGTGAATTGGTTGAAATAGTAAATCCATTGTCGTGAAAAAGCAACCCAAACTGGTGAGTTGACCACTTAAGTGTGTTGGGAACTCATCTACATAGTATGATCTTCCTGGGATAATTTGCTAAGATCATGAAGATAATCATTAAACTCAAACGTACAATCCTAACTGATCATAAATCAGCTATCAATCTATGATAATTCTCCATATTGAGGCGAACAGTGATAATCTTCTGACAAGGGAGAAAGAAAATAGTTGTCAATTTAGAGATTTTTGTCAGAGAAAAGGCGATGGTACCTTGTGATGAGTTTGTGTAGGACTTACTGCAAATATATGGAGAGGTGAAGAAGAGAAATGCTGAAGACCAGAACTCTTATTATCCTTAAAAGTCCAAGAGAATGAACAAGGAGCATGAGTTAAGGGAGATTTCAAAGTGTTTGAAATCCTAAGAAATGAGGGTGGCCATAGGAGAAGCATCACCTTATGAAAATAGCCTAGAAGCAGTCAAAGAAACTGATAGACTATCATAAGAGAGATTTGGAAACTAGTAGAAGCGAGGTGGCATGACGGCAGGCACAATACATAAATAAAAATTGACAATCTACAAAGCAGATTCAAGCTGCAATGATCCTATCCATGAAGTTGAGGCTGAAATAAATGCAATTGCTTGGGCCTATAGGCGGCGATTCCCCGTAGCAAAGGCATGAGGTGACTAGAATTGCATCGGAAAAACAAAATGTTCATAGATCAATGGTCGTAAATCATGAGTGCTTAGAGCGTGCGAGCCTTGGGCTGTAAGGAGTGGACAACGAGCTACAATCACAAATAATAAGTTATAAGAGGATGACAAAGCAGATTAATGGTGCCTCACACAGGTTAGCAAATGCCATAGAGAAGTGATACTTAATGAGCAAAAATGTTGCGAATAAGGTTTGCAGTTGAAATTGAGGTAGCACATTTTGAGATGGCATGTGGATGGGAGTGTGATCCCCCACATGCTCTAATGCCAAGATGAAGTGAATGGGCAACAATGATTAATGTAGATTTTGATACATTAATTGCTTTTAGAAAATGGTGTAAGAACTTTAAGATACAGTGGTGATGAACGACGTCTTGGCGTTTAATGTTTTTAATGCAATGAATCATGTGACGATGCCATGCAATCAAATTTAAGAACCTCAAGTTTAAAAACAATTAATTAAGAATGTCAAACATCAAAATTTCAAACATGAAGTTTATAGATTATAAATTTATGCAATTACTTGGTTATATTTTAATGTAAATTAGAAATTACATAGAATTTTTCTTAAATAATAATCCATTTATCATCAAAATAATATTCAACAACAAAAAAAAATAAAAATAAAACCAGAAATCATAAGAAAACCTCAGCTTGATTATTACTCATGTTTCAATGAGAATATTAGTTGTATCTATTTTTGCTAAAATCATTTAAACTAACAAAACTGTTATTGAATTATGTCGATGAAAGAGACTAAATTAGGAAAGCACTAAACAAAAAAAATCTTGGCCTCATACTACTATAAGCGATATCTTCCCCTAAGAATCGATAGTCGCACCCGCATTGAACTAGAAGATCTAAGTATCTCAGAAGCTTACAGGCTTGAAGAAATTTGCAAAATTTATTAAACTAATACTCGTAAGATCACACCCAACATTTATATTTATAAACATCTAATTCACTTTCCTCCATGCTTCCATCTGTTGATACGATATGTTTAAGCGCAACTCTCATAAGACTTTAATAATAATCCAACAAGTCATAAGATAAGATTGCCACTTGTTGAACATGTACATGCATAGGAGTGGAAGGTGGGGTTGTTGATTTGATCGCGAAGTAGAAGGTGATTCAAAGCGCAAAATACTAATCAATCTCAAAGGATTGTGAAATGAAAGGAGAATGCAGAAAGCTTAATCACATTAGAGTTGTGTGAATTTCGTGTGAAGCCGCCATGTAGGAGTTGGATTGAGAGGAAAGTTTTTTCTTCAATCACTCTTATTCAGAGTATCTTGGCTTTTGATTAATTGTACTTTGTGATATTTAGTCAAAATGAATAACACAATCATAATCATATTTTACATAAATGGCATAAAATTTAAAATAGGAATATTAAATAGAAGTATTTTTGAAAATGAAAATTAATGTTTAATTTTTTAATTTGCTTGCCTTAATGCATATGAATTGCATTTTTTATGAGTCCAGAATTTCAAATCCGCTCGATTTTGGTATTTTTTTAATATTTGATCTTCATAAATCAAATTAAGGTATAAATATTATGATATATACATTATAATTTATTGAACCATCCTATAAAGTTCTGTCACTGATACACTAGATATCATAATAGTTGACCATCAGTAGTGGATGTGATTTCACAATACAAACACGACTTCAGAAATAAGAAATGTAGAATAATGTGACCAAGTGTTTAATATTAATTCATGAGAAAATGGAAAGAGAAATTTAAGGCAATGTTGCTAGCTTTTAAAATAAATTCAAATTTGATGCATTCAAGGCTGGCATTAATACCAAAATTTTATTGATATTTTCAATGTAGTACATTAAAAATGCGCCAATCTTTCTCACTATCAAATTTTAAAGGGCTTCTTTTGGAAAGTTATTTATAATTAGGCGTACCGTTATCTTATTATCTATTTTAACTTTCACATTCCATATTGTTACATCAATAGACTTAACTCAATAATTAAAAGCCCTATTTTTGTAAATACATTATTTGGAAGTAAAAAAATTTATGTAACAATATAATTCATATAAATGGCTAACAATAATGAAAATATTAAACCATACATTTTAGTTGATACTACTAATTAAATATTATAACTAATTCTTCGAAGATGATATGATAAGAAAATTGGAAGTGGACAAATCACATTAATATGATTTGCCTATATGGACAAACAATATTTTTCTTAAAAAAGATCTCTCCTTTTTTTCTATAATATTAGTCACGCGAGAATATTCACTTTTGACTAGATAGATAAGTTTCTTTTAATATTGCATTTAACAAATTCTCTAATACGTTGGCATATCTCTTGCCATAAACTTTTTTAATGAATATGGAAATCAAGAAACCATTGACTAAAATTATAATCAATATCTATTTGATCATTAATCATAAAGATAATTTTCATTAATTACTAAGAATTGCATATTGGACTGCTTGTTTGGTCTATTAACTATAATAAATCCGATTGATTTAGTTTAATTTTCATGAATGTACTCAATTTCTATTGGAGTTTAGATTCATATATTATTTTGAGCTCAATTTTAGTTATAGGCTCTTAAATATAAATTTTGATTCATGGATATGTTTTAATGTTGGTACATAATCTATTCAATATCGTATATAGAGTGATACTGTAACCACAAATGGTCTTCTGCATTTAAAATATTCGCATATGGATGAAAAAAAATTCCTTAAGAGAAACATATTCAATTATACATTATGTTTGTGATGTTGTATGCATGATGATTTTTTAGGAAATGGTGTTAATTTTTTTATAGGGCGTTAATCACTTATGTGCTAATTCTAATATAACGACGTAATATTTCTCAATATTTAATGATGTGTATACAGTTTTGTATATTGTTCTTGGTGATTTGTAGCTTTGTTCATACTTCATATCCCAACCATGACTCTTAATATATAGATAATAGTAATATAGTAGTGTACATGCAAATAATATTTAACTGTAAAAACTTCGAACCTTCCTTAACTTTTAAACACCCTCTATTGGGTTTCATAAGTTTCATAAATTGATCCCTATAACCATTGATTGATAAATGTTATTTCTTAAGTTATGTTTTGTATCAACCAATGTAGATCTATCAATTAAATTTCTTCAAAATAATACATGTTATATTAGTTTCATATTAGCAATGTTTAATTTTAAAGGGGCTATTTGCTTGCAAGTAGGATTTAATAAATTTTACGAATATGAATTGAATAAATACTAAAATTGGTAGATCTTCAAAATGATTTTGTATGACTAAATTAATACTGTCAGATTTTTCTGAAATGTTTGACAGCTTATATATT